GTTAGAGAGATAACATGGATACAGAGGTGTTAGAGAGATAAAATAGGATACTGATGTGTTAGAGAGATAACATAGGATACAGAGGTGTTAGAGAGATAACAAAGTATACAGAGGTGTTAGAGAGATAAAATAGGATACTGATGTGTTAGAGAGATAACAGAGGATACAGAGGTGTTAGAGAGGTGAGCAAGTTTGCCAGAGAGATAACAGAGGATACAGAGGTTTTAGAGAGATAACAGAGTATACATGTTAAAATACATATAACATAGAATACAAATGTGTTAGAGAGATGACAGAGTATACAGAGGTGTTAGAGAGATAACATAGAATACAAAGGTGTTAGAGAGATAACATAGGATACAGAGGTGTTAGATAGCAGAGGATACAGAGGTGTTAGATAGCAGAGGATACAGAGGTGTTAGATAGCAGAGGATACAGAGGTGTTAGATAGCAGAGGATACAGATGTGTTAGAGAGATAACATATAATACAGATGTGTCAGAGAGATAACATAGGATACAGAGGAGTTAGGGAGATAACAGGATACAGAGGTGTTAGATTCCAAAGGATACAGAGGTGCTAGAGAGATAACATAGGATACAGAGGTGTTAGAGAGATAACATAGGATACAGAGGTGTTAGATAGCAGAAGATAAAGAGGTTTTAGATAACATAGGATACAGAGGTGTTAGAGAGATAACAAAGGATACAGAGATGTTAGAGATATAACAAAGGATTCAAAGTAGTTAGGGAGATAACAGAGGATACAGAGGTGTTAGATAGCAGAGGATACAGAGGTGCTAGAGAGATAACATAGGATACAGAGGTGTTAGAGAGATAACATAGGATACAGAGGTGTTAGAGAGATAGCAGAAGATAAAGAGGTTTTAGATAACATAGGATACAGAGGTGTTAGAGAGATAACAAAGGATACAGAGATGTTAGAGAGATAACAAAGGATACAGAGATGTTAGAGAGATAACAGAGGATACAGAGGTGTTAGAGAGATACATAGACACATACATGAAACAGAGGCAAGCCCCGTGGATAGGTAGGCGACCATCATTGCTACAGTGAAGAAGTTAGGGACGACAGCGATACCATGAAGCAACACTGACACACGCCAGCACGGGTACAGGAGTCACGGGGGCAGGTAAACAGCACAGGGAAGGCAGTTAAGGTGTTACATACGTAATCCGTGTGGGTGTCGTTGCAGGGGGAGGAGCTGCACCACAACGTCTCTGCTGGAGTGATCCTCACCAACCAGAGCCTGGTGCTTCAGAGTGTGGGGCGTCACTCCTCCGGCCTCTACACATGCACCGCTGCCAACCAGCTCGGCTCAGCTACCTCTGAGGGCATCCAGCTCAGCGTCAAGTGTGAGTTACCTAGTTATCACCTAGTTGTGCTTGCGGGGGTTGAACTCTGGCTCTTTGGTCCCGCCTCTCAACCGTCAATTAACAGGTGTACAGATTCCTGAGCCTATTGGGCTCTATCATATCTACACTTGAAACTGTGTATGGAGTCAGCCTCCACCACATCACCTCCTAATGCATTCCATTTGTCAACCACTCTGACGCTAAAAAAGTTCTTTCTAATATCTCTGTGGCTCATTTGGGCGCTCAGTTTCCAACTGTGTCCCCTAGTGCGTGTGCCCCTTGTGTTAAATAGCCTGTCTTTATCTACCCTATGAATTCCCTTGAGAATCTTGAATGTGGAGATCATGTCCCCCCTAACTCTTATGTCTTCCAGCGAAGTGAGGTTTAATTTCCGTAGTCTGGGAGTCTGAGTTAGTGTGTGTGTGTGTGTGTGTACTCACCTAATTGTACTCACCTAATTGTGCTTGCGGGGGTTGAGCTTTGGCTCTTTGGTCCCGCCTCTCAACCGTCAATCAACTGCTGTACAGATTCCTGAGCCTACTGGGCTCTATCATATCTACATTTGAAGCTGTGTATGGAGTCAGCCTCCACCACATCACTTCCTAGTGCATTCCATTTACTAACTACTCTGAAACTGAAAAAGTTCTTTCTAACGTCTCTGTGGCTCATTTGGGTACTCAGCTTCCACCTGTGTCCCCTTGTTCGCGTCCCACCAGTGTTGAATAGTTCATCCTGTTTACCCCGGTCGATTCCCCTGAGGATTTTGTAGGTTGTGATCATGTCTCCCCTTACTCTTCTGTCTTCCAGTGTCGTAAGGTGCATTTCCCGCAGCCTTTCCTCATAACTCATGCCTCTTAGTTCTGGGACTAGTCTAGTAGCATACCTTTGGACTTTTTCCAGCTTCGTCTTGTGTTTGACAAGGTACGGGCTCCACGCTGGGGCCGCATACTCCAGGATTGGTCTTACATATGTGGTGTACAAGATTCTGAATGATTCCTTACACAGGTTCCTGAACGCCGTTCTGATGTTAGCCAGCCTCGCATATGCCGCAGACGTTATTCTCTTTATGTGGGCTTTAGGAGACAGGTTTGGTGTGATATCAACTCCTAGATCTTTCTCTCTGTCTGTTTCATTAAGTACTTCATCTCCTATTCTGTATCCTGTGCCTGGCCTCCTGTATCCACTGCCTAGTTTCATTACTTTGCATTTACTCGGGTGGAACTTTAACAGCCATTTGTTGGACCATTCACTCAGTCTATCCAGGTCATCTTGTAGCCTCCTACTATCATCCTCTGTTTCAATCCTCCTCATACTTTTTGCATCGTCGGCAAACATTGAGAGGAACGAATCTATACCCTCTGGGAGATCATGTACATATACCAGAAACAGTATAGGTCCAAGGACTGACCCCTGCGGGACTCCACTTGTGACGTCTCGCCAATCTGAGACCTCACCCCTCACACAGACTCGTTGTCTCCTGTTGCTTAAGTACTCCTCTATCCACCGGAGTACCTTCCCTTCACTCCAGCCTGCATCTCAACTTTCGCACTAGCCTCTGTGTGGCACTGTATCAAAGGCTTTCTGACAATCCAAAAATATGCAGTCTGCCCACCCTTCTCTTTCTTGCCTTATTTTTGTTGCCTAGTCGTAGAACTCAAGTAACCCTGTGAGGCAGGACCTGCCATCCCTGAACCCATGTTGATGCTGTGTTACAAAGTTCCTTCGCTCCAGATGCTCCACTAGTTTTTTTCTCACAATCTTCTCCATTGTGTGTGTGTGTGTGTGTGTGTGTGTGTGTGTGTGTGTGTGTGTGTGTGTGTGTGTGTGTGTGTGTGTGTGTGTGTGTGTGTGTGTGTGTGTGTGTGTGTGTGTGTGTGTGTGTGTGTGTGTGTGTGTGTGTGTGTGTATGTGTGTGTGTACTCACATATTTGTACTCACCTATTTGTGCTTGCGAGGATTGAGTTTTGGCTCTTTGGTCCCGCCTCTCAACTGTCAATCAACTGGTGTACAGATTCCTGAGCCTACTGGGCTCTGTCATATCTACATTTGAAACTGTGTATGGAGCCAGCCTCCACCACATCACTGCCTAATGCATTCCATCTGTTAACTACTCTGACACTGAAAAAGTTAACTCCACCTAACGTCCCTGTGGTTCATGTGGCTACTCAGTTTCCACCTGTGTCCCCTTGTTCGCGTACCGCCAGTGTTGAATAGTTTATCCTTGTCAACCCCGGTCGATTCCCATGAGGATTTTGTTGGTTGTGATCATGTCTCCCTTACTCGTCTGTGTTCCAGTGTCATAAGGTGCATTTCCCGCAGCCTTTCCTCGTAACTCATGCCTCTTAGTTCTGGAACTAGTCTAGCCTTTTTGAACTCTTTCCAGCTTTGTCTTGCGCTTGACAAGGTACGGGCTCCATGCTGGGACCGTGTACTCCAGGATTGGTCTTACATATGTGGTATACAAGATATTGAATGATTACTTACACAGGTTTCTGAAGGCTGAAGGTGTGTGTGTGTGTGTGTGTGTGTGTGTGTGTGTGTGTGTGTGTGTGTGTGTGTGTGTGTGTGTGTGTGTGTGTGTGTGTGTGTGTGTGTGTGTGTGTATGTGTGCAGCGAGTGAGTGAGAGAGGGGGCAGGATTGACAGACTATACACAAATCCCCTCCATACCCCCCCCCTCCACAGGCATACTTCAGACACCCTCTCCCAATTCACTTCACTCCTCCCACCCGCAGCACCCCACCCCTCCACCCACCCGCAGCACCCCACCCCTCTACCCACCAGCAGCACCCCACCCCTCCACCCACCCGCAGCACCCACCCCTCCTCCCACCCGCAGCACTCCACCCCTCCACCCACCCGCAGCACCCCACCCCTCCACCCACCCGCAGCACCCCACCCCTCCACCCACCCGCAGCACTCCACCCTTCCACCCACCCGCAGCACCCCACCCCTCCACCCACCCGCAGCAACCCCACCCTCCTCCCACCCGCAGCACCCCACCCCTCCTCCCACCAGCAGCACCCCACCCCTCCACCCACCCGCAGCACCCCACCCCTCCACCCACCCGCAGCAACCCCACCCCTCCACCCACCAGCAGCACCCCACCCCCTCCACCCACCAGCAGCACCCCACACCCTCCACCCACCAGCAGCACCCCACCCCTCCACCCACCCGCTGCACCCCACCCCTCCACCCACCCGCAGCACCCCACCTCTCCAACTACCCGCAGCACCCCACCCCTCCGCCCTGGCTCCTCGGCTCTTTCATCTTTCGCTACAATTGTCTGGTTTCTCTGACCGCTCCTCTTTCCTCCTTACACTTTCCCCTCATTTCCTCTCTGCCCTCTTATTCTGTCATTCTCATAACGTTCCTGTTTCTCATAACGTTCCTGTCTCTCATAACGTTCCTGTTTCTCATAACGTTCCTGTTTCTCATAACGTTCCTGTTTCTCATAACGTTCCTGTTTCTCATAACGTTCCTGTCTCTCATAACGTTCCTGTTTCTCATAACGTTCCTGTTTCTCATAACGTTCCTGTATCTCATAACGTTCCTGTCTCTCGTAACGTTCCTTTCTCTCATAACGTTCCTGTATCTCATAACGTTCCTGTCTCTCGTAACGTTCCTTTCTCTCATAACGTTCCTGTTTCTCATAACGTTCCTGTTTCTCATAACGTTCCTGTCTCTCATAACGTTCCTGTTTCTCATAACGTTCCTGTTTCTCATAACGTTCTTGTCTCTCATAACGTTCCTGTTTCTCATAACGTTCCTGTCTCTCATAACGTTCCTGTTTCTCATAACGTTCCTGTTTCTCATAACGTTCTTGTCTCTCATAACGTTCCTGTTTCTCATAACGTTCTTGTCTCTCATAACGTTCCTGTTTCTCATAACGTTCTTGTCTCTCATAACGTTCCTGTTTCTCATAACGTTCCTGTTTCTCATGACGTTCCTGTTTCTCATAACGTTCCTGTCTCTCATAACGTTCCTGTTTCTCATAACGTTCTTGTCTCTCATAACGTTCCTGTCTCTCATAACGTTCCTGTTTCTCATAACGTTCTTGTCTGTTTCTCGTCCAATCCATTAGTCTGTTCATTATCCTGTTACTTACTCATCTGTTTCTCTCTCTCTCTTTATCTCAATTTGTTCCTTACCAACGCTTCTTTACTCCTTCCTCTTTCTTCCTCATTTTCTTCTTGATCCGCTCCTTGTCAACTTCCTGTTCTTCTCTCTTCTCCCTCCTCTCTCTTCTCCCCTTCTCTCCCTCTCTCTTCTCCCCTTCTCTCTTTCTCTTCTCCCCTTCTCTTCCTTTCTCTTCTCCCCTTCTCTCCCTCCCTCTTCTCCCCTTCTCTCCCTCCCTCTTCTCCCCTTCTCTCCCTCCCTCTTCTCCCCTTCTCTCCCTCCCTCTTATCCCCTTCTCTCCCTCCCTCTTCTCCCCTTTTCTCCCTCCCTCTTCTCCCCTTCTCTCCCTCCCTCTTCTCCCCTTCTCTCCCTCCCTCTTCTCCCCTTCTCTCCTCCCTCTTCTCCCCTTCTCTCCCTCCCTCTTCTCCCCTTCTCTCCCTCCCTCTTCTCCCCTTCTCTCCCTCTCTCTTCTCCCCTTCTCTCCCTCTTCCTCCTCCTGGTCGCCATGACCGAGGCTGGAGTTCAGTAGCCTCCAACAAAGACTCAGCGAGGCACAACGTCAACATATAATCCTGTGACTGCTGGCGGAGGAGCATATTACACGTGCTCCGAGCTGCTGTTTGTATACGGAGTTTTCTGTGTACTCCCCTAGTTCACCTAAAAGTGCTTTCGAGAGTTAAGATTCAGCTCTTTGGTCCCGCCTCTCAACTGTCAATCAATTAATCACCAATCAGTTGGTGTATATGTTCCTGATCCTATGTGGAGCTGTATTCTATCATCATTTGTAAGAGTGCATGTGAGTCTGCCTCCACCATCATCACGGCCTAATGTGATGTGGTGGAAGCAGTCTAAATTAACTACTACTATTGACTACTCATGACAGTGAACAATATTGTTTCTACTCTCTGAGGCTCATTTGTGCACTCAGTGAGCGCACGTGCGTGTATTAGTGATAGTTCTTGTGTGTGTACCTACCTACTTGTGCTTGCGGGGGTTGAGCTCTGGCTCTTTGGTCGCGCCTCTCGACTGTCAGTCAACTAATGTACAGGTTCCTGAGCCTATTGGGCTCTATCATATCTATACTTGAAGCTGTGTATGGAGTCAGCCTCCACCACATAACTTCCTAATGCATTCCATTTGTCTACTATCCTGACATTGAAAAAAATCTTTCTAACGTTCCAATGGCTCATTTGGGCACTCAATTTCCACCTGTGTCCCCTAGTGCGTGTGCCCCTTGTGGTAAATAGCCTGTCTTTATCTACCCTATCAATTCCTCTGCGAATCTTGTATGTGGTGATCATGTCCCCCCTAACTCTTCTGTCTCCCAGTGACGTATGGTTTAAGTTCCGCAGTCTGTCCTCGTAGCTCAAACTCCAAAGTTCGGGTTCTAGTCTGGTGGCAAACCTTTGAACCTTTTCCAGTTTAATCTTATGCTTGACTAGATATGGACTCCATGCTGGAGCCGCATACTCCAGGATTGGTCTGACATATGTGGTATATAATGTTCTGAAAGATTCCTTACACAAGTTTCTAAAGGCCGTTCTTATGTATTAAGGCATATGCCAACCTGGCATATGCCGCTGATGTTATCCTCTTGACATGAGCTTCAGGGGACAAATCTGGCGTGATATCAACCCCAGGCCTTTTTCTCTCTCAGACTCTTGAAGGATTTCCCTTCCCAAATAATATCTTGTATCTAGTCTCCTGCTCCCTACATCTATCTTCATTACATTGCATTTGCTTGGGTTAAACTCTAACAACCATTTGTTCGACCATTCCTGCAGCTTGTCCAGGTCTTCTTGAAGCCTCAAGCAGTCCTCCTCTGTCTTAATCCTTCTCATAATTTTAGCATCATCAGCAAACATTGAGAGGAATGAGTCTATACCCTCCGGGAGATCGTTTACGTATTTCAGAAACAGGATAGGACCGAGTACAGAGCCCTGTGGGACTCCACTGGTGACTTCACGCCAATCTGAGATCTCACCCCTGACTGTAACTCTTTGCTTTCTATTGCTTAGGTATTCCCTTATCCACTGGAGCACTTTACCAGTTACTCCTGCCTGTCTCTCCAGCTTAGGCATCAGCCTTTTATGGGGTACTGTGTCAAAGGCTTTCCGACAGTCCAAAAAAATACAGTCCGCCCAGCCTTCTCCTTCTTGCTTAATCTTTTCACCTGGTCGTAGAATTCTATCAAGCCCGTAAGGCAAGATTTACACTCCCTGAATCCATGTTGATGGGTTGTCACGAAGTCCCTTCTCTCCTGATGTGTTACTAGGTTTTTTCTCACGGTCTTCTCCATCACCTTGCGTGGTATACAAGTCAAGGACACTGGCCTGTAGTTCAGTGCCTCTTGCCTGTCGCCCAGACAGAGTGTCCAGAGTGGCCCAGAGTCCAGTGCCTCTTGTGTACTCACCTAGTTGTACTCACCTAGTTGTGTTTGCGGGGGTTGAGCTCTGGCTCTTTGGTCCCGCCTCTCAACCGTCAATCAACAGGTGTACAGATTCCTGAGCCTATTGGGCTCTGTCATATCTACACTTGAAACTGTGTATGGAGTCAGCCTCCACCACATCTCTTCCTAATGCATTCCATTTGTCAACCACTCACTAAAAAAGTTATTTCTAATATCTCTGTGGCTCATTTGGGCGCTCAGATTCCACCTGTGTCCCCTAGATCGTGTGCCCCTTATGTTAAATAGACTGTCTTTATCTACCCTATCAATTCCCTTCAGAATCTTAAATGTGGTGATCATGTCCCCCCTAACTCTTCTGTCTTCCAGCGAAGTGAGGTTTAATTCCCGTAGTCTCTCCTCGTAGCTCATACCTCTCAGCTCGGGTACTAGTCTGGTGGCAAATCTTTAAACCTTTTCAAGTTTAGTCTTATCCTTGACTAGATATGGACTCCATGCTGGGGCTGCATACTCCAGGATTGGCCTGACATATGTGGTATACAAAGTTCCTAATGATTCTTTACACAAATTTCTGAATGCCGTTCGTATGTGAGAAAGACAAAAACATAGAGAAAAACATAGTTGTTGTGCTGAGAGAGAAAACATAGTTGTATGTTGTCTTGCTGGGATCGGAAGGGTTGTTTTTGAGTAGGAGCGGAGTTTTCTTTGTAAACTAACAAGTCGGGATTGTGTGTGGAGGAGCATGTCTTGTGAGGAAGAAGAGGTGTTGCTTATTGTGCCAGATTTTTTGTTTGAGTTGAGTGGGGGGGGGGGAGGGGTTGGTTGTGTGTTAAGTGCGAGGTGGTTGTTGTATGTGTGGCTGGAGAACGTTCTTGTGTGGGTATGTAGATTGTTCGTTTGTTTGTTTGTTTGTTTAGGAAGGTTATTCGTTCATCTGTGGTAGAGACAGATGTTTTCATTCGTTGGATTGTTGATACTTGTGTTTGGTGGGAGGAGGGTTGATGGAGAGTATTAATGGGTGGGGAGGTGTTTATGGGGAGTATTAATGGCTGGGGAGGTGTTTATGGAGAGTATTAATGGGTGGGGAGGTGTTTATGGGGAGTATTAATGGGTGGGAAGGTGTTTATGGAGAGTATTAATGGGTGGGGAGGTGTTTATGGAGAATATTAATGGGTGGGGAGGAGTTTATGGGGAGTATTAATGGCTGGGGAGGTGTTTATGGAGAGTATTAATGGGTGGGGAGGTGTTTATGGGGAGTATTAATGGGTGGGGAGGTGTTTATGGTGAGTATTAATGGGTGGGGAGGTGTTTATGGTGAGTATTAATGGGTGGGGAGGTGTTTATGGTGAGTATTAATGGGTGGGGAGGTGTTTATGGAGAGTATTAATGGCTGGGGAGGTGTTTATGGAGAGTATTAATGGGTGGGTAGGTGTTTATGGGGAGTATTAATGGGTGGGGAGGTGTTTATGGAGAGTATTAATGGGTGGGGAGGTATTTATGGAGAGTATTAATGGGTGGGGAGGTGTTTATGTAGAGTATTATGGGTGGGGAGGTGTTTATGGTGAGTATTAATGGGTGGGGAGGTGTTTATGGTGAGTATTAATGGCTGGGAGGTGTTTTATGGAGAGTATTAATGGGTGGGGAGGTGTTTATGGAGAGTATAATGGGTGGGGAGGTGTTTATGGAGAGTATTAATGGGTGGGGAGGTGTTTAGGAGAGTATTAATGGGTGGGGAGGTGTTTATGGTGAGTATAATGGGTGGGGAGGTGTTTATAGAGAGTATTAATGGGTGGGGAGGTGTTTATGGAGAGTATTAATGGGTGGGGAGGTGTTTATGGGGAGTATTAATGGGTGGGGAGGTGTTTATGGAGAGTATTAATGGGTGGGGAGGTGTTTATGGAGAGTATTAATGGGTGGGGAGGTGTTTATGGTGAGTATTAATGGGTGGGGAGGTGTTTATGGAGAGTATTAATGGGTGGGGAGGTGTTTATGGAGAGTATTAATGGGTGGGGAGGTGTTTATGGAGAGTATTAATGGGTGGGGAGGTGTTTATGGAGAGTATTAATGGGTGGGGAGGTGTTTATGGTGAGTATTAATGGGTGGGGAGGTGTTTATGGTGAGTATTAATGGGTGGGGAGGTGTTTATGGAGAGTATGAATGGGTGGGAGGTGAACATTGGAGATGTTTGGAGATCTATTGGAGAACACATCCAATGGAGGTCTTCACGACTCCATTGGGTTTTTGGAGACGGAACCTTGTAGGTGATCACCTATCTTTACTGTCATGATTAAGAGTGGAGGCAGCCCAGGCTGCCTCCAGGTGAGAGTTGATCCTGGGCGTTCCCTACATATCTGAGAACATGTAAATCTATATATAATTGAGGATATGATAATAGATATATGTAGGGGGTAAAAAAACACTACACTAATATATATGAGTAATTTTAAGAGTCAAGAGGATATATTGTGAGGAGGAGGAATCAGAGGCGATGTGTCTCCTCCTGGATTATAAGTTGGGATTGAGCCTGCGACTACAGACTAAGTAGAGGAAGGCGGTCTGAACCAATC